ATTAATCTCCCGCCACGATCTCCGCATGTCCTAATATAGATATGGCCCAGCTTTTAGGTGTTGTCTGTTAAGGAGAAATTACTTTGTGTCCTTTGTTCAAATTAAGTTTGTTATTGTTATCGAATACATGCCACAGAGACAATTGAAATAGTTCTTGTACCGACAAAAGGTAAGAGGGTATGGTGAAGGCCAGTCTAATGGTAATTGATAAAGGGGGTTGAACTACATGTATGTGTAAAACGAAAACATTTAGCCGACAGCAAATCACCACATGCATCGCTTGCGGGATATTAATAGGCTTCCTTGGAGCTCTGCGGTGTGCTTGGTGTGTAGCTAAAACCACTGTGACATCACCAGAAGCGTTACAAAGCAGTTTATGCAATAATATCATTATGATATAATTTTTCTACCATTTCCGCGATCGCGAGGTATATAAGTTCGTAAAAAACTGGCAGCTATCAGTTTTTTCCTTTCGCTTACCAAAGAAGGACATTACGATACAATATGCAGTTCTCTGACTTCGCCGCACTTCTTGGCCTTGGTGAGTATTATCATTCTGTTGTCATGCTATATCAGTTTAAATGGTATTAGCTGTCCGAAATAAAACGCTGGAAAGTAACATGTCCCATGCAATCTTTAAAATGGAGTTGTTTGTGTGTGATATGACAGTATTGTAACTCCAAATCCTATATTCCAACAGCGTAAAAGTGTTAATTTCACAGGAAAGTGTGTTGCTTCAAGTTTCAAGCAACATCCTCCTCAACATCTACTATATAAAGTGTAATGCTTTATACATGGGCGTGTCTTTGTTTATTTTCCAGCTCTGGCAGCCGTTTTGGGTTTGGCTAGTGCTCACGGTCATGGTGGCCACGGACATGGTGGTCATGGACATGGTGGTCACGGACATGGAGGTCATGGACATGGACATGGTGGTCACGGTCATGGAGGACATGGTCATGGTCACGGAGGTCATGGTCACGGAGGTCATGGTCACGGAGGTCATGGCCACGGAGGACACGGTCACCACGGATGAAGCTGCCGAGACGTTGGGGATTGATATCCTAAGTACACAGTCACATGAGAATCTGGATGCTGGGAATCCACTGTGTAGTCGATAACCTATTGTATTGATTGTGATTCGTGTATCATCATTGCCTCAAAGAATTAAAACATCGATCTGACAATTATGCTACTGTTTGTATTATTCATTCTCTTCTATATGGATGCTAGAATGACTACAGAACTAAAGCAATTGTGCAAATAAAATAATACTTAGTGCATGTACATAACAGCCCAAGTGACAGACGTAGGTTTAAGTCTGACAGCAAGAGAGTATGGTCTGAGATATGATAAGACGACACATCCTTGTTTCGTGCATGCTATAAAATCCACTCCCCGAAACACCATGGCTCATGTCATCCAAAATGCCGTAGTGTTTAACTGCAGCTATAAAGCAACTTAGGATAGAGGTAGTAATCAGTCCAATTCTGCACAACGCCTGCTCTATGGCATGTCCCAACTACTTTCAACTGGTACGTGCGTCGGGTCTCTCAAATGTGCCACTGAGTCATATATATCTTGTATCAACCCACATACTTAGCAAGGATTCGTCGTCATTTGATGGTATTAACCTAATATGCACACCATTGTCGATATGCATTGAATTTATCATATGGACGCGGGAGGCGCTATCAGCTATCAAGATAGCAAATGTGTCAGTAGGCTTGTTTGTCTGTTAGTGTTTGTGAGAGAGAGAGAGAGAGAGAGAGAGAGAGAGAGAGAGAGAGAGAGAGAGAGAGAGAGAGAGAGAGAGAGAGAGAGAGAGAGTCCATGATAAACCAGTGTGCATATGAATCATTCCTCATACCAATTTGGTAAGAGGTAAATGTTTTGGCGGCCAGAGCATTCTCACTTTAGCCCAGTGATCCCCGTACACAATAAAAGAGAAGATAATGTGTAATCAGATTTAACACTTTGGAGTGTATTTTTATTCAGAGGTCTGGTCAAACAAAATACAAGATCATCATGTTTTACATGAGTTGTTGTTTCCCCGTTGTCCAGCAGCAGTGGAATAAAAAACAAGGGCTTTCTCGTGACACATCTTTCTGAAATGAAGAATAGGCCAAAGTTATCAGGCATGTCATTTCTACTAAAATTTGCAGAGGACATTGCCTCCGAGATATATACTTTATGTTTACAGAAACGAGTATTCCCGAGGAAAGAGTTCATCCCGTCATGCGTTAATTGTTCTTTGGAAAACACAGTTAAGAACGTTTGCAACACAACCATTGTGAGATCTAACCGTCTACCTACCAGCTGCTATGTTTATCCATGGTGCCCCTTTCCTCCATGGCCGCCTCCATGTCCTTTGCCCCCGTGTCCGCCACCATGGCCTCCGTGTCCCTTGCCCCCATGGCCACCACCATGACCTTTGCCGCCATGACCCTTTCCACCTCCATGACCGCCTCCATGACCATGACCATGACCACCACCATGACCCTTGGCCATGCTGGTTCCGAACACTGCAGCAAGAACTGTCAGAAAGAGAAAACACAATACATTATTTGCGACGCTGATAATGTGGACTGTTCAGGCTAGTTAAAAGCAATTATTAAGACGTAAACACAGTCACATCGCGTTAATAAAATGTTGACAGTTGGAGTAGATGGCATATCATATTTAGGTTTCCTATATAGATTGACAGTGACTGTCAAGTAACTTTTCTCCCAAATGATCTGAACTTTCAGCCAGGCGATTATACAGCGTGACTAGTGTAGATTTACATTTAGGCACCAACGAGGTATGCTCACCTGCTACAAGGAGCACTGCGACTTGAAGAAAATGCATATTTGATGGTTCTGATGAATGCAAACCTCAGAAAACGTAAAGTTACCTTCTGCACGTTCTCTCTTTTATAGAGGTGTAACAGCATGTTCTGTGCATGCATGGGGATGCGGCGCACCTTTCCAAATCAGATTAATTAACCAGATGTTTAATTTCTACATCAACTGCACTTTTTTCAATTTTACTTTTTCTCAAGCGTTTGAACTTTTGCATTAATCTCCCGCCACGATCTCCGCATGTCCTAATATAGATATGGCCCAGCTTTTAGGTGTTGTCTGTTAAGGAGAAATTACTTTGTGTCCTTTGTTCAAATTAAGTTTGTTATTGTTATCGAATACATGCCACAGAGACAATTGAAATAGTTCTTGTACCGACAAAAGGTAAGAGGGTATGGTGAAGGCCAGTCTAATGGTAATTGATAAAGGGGGTTGAACTACATGTATGTGTAAAACGAAAACATTTAGCCGACAGCAAATCACCACATGCATCGCTTGCGGGATATTAATAGGCTTCCTTGGAGCTCTGCGGTGTGCTTGGTGTGTAGCTAAAACCACTGTGACATCACCACAAGCGTTACAAAGCAGTTTATGCAATAATATCATTATGATATAATTTTTCTACCATTTCCGCGATCGCGAGGTATATAAGTTCGTAAAAAACTGGCAGCTATCAGTTTTTTCCTTTCGCTTACCAAAGAAGGACATTACGATACAATATGCAGTTCTCTAACTTCGCCGCACTTCTTGGCCTTGGTGAGTATTATCATTCTGTTGTCATGCTATATCAGTTTAAATGGTATTAGCTGTCCGAAATAAAACGCTGGAAAGTAACATGTCCCATGCAATCTTTAAAATGGAGTTGTTTGTGTGTGATATGACAGTATTGTAACTCCAAATCCTATATTCCAACAGCGTAAAAGTGTTAATTTCACAGGAAAGTGTGTTGCTTCAAGTTTCAAGCAACATCCTCCTCAACATCTACTATATAAAGTGTAATGCTTTATACATGGGCGTGTCTTTGTTTATTTTCCAGCTCTGGCAGCCGTTTTGGGTTTGGCTAGTGCTCACGGTCATGGTGGCCACGGACATGGTGGTCATGGACATGGTGGTCACGGACATGGAGGTCATGGACATGGACATGGTGGTCACGGTCATGGAGGACATGGTCATGGTCACGGAGGTCATGGTCACGGAGGTCATGGTCACGGAGGTCATGGTCACCACGGATGAAGCTGCCGAGACGTTGGGGATTGATATCCTAAGTACACAGTCACATGAGAATCTGGATGCTGGGAATCCACTGTGTAGTCGATAACCTATTGTATTGATTGTGATTCGTGTATCATCATTGCCTCAAAGAATTAAAACATCGATCTGACAATTATGCTACTGTTTGTATTATTCATTCTCTTCTATATGGATGCTAGAATGACTACAGAACTAAAGCAATTGTGCAAATAAAATAATACTTAGTGCATGTACATAACAGCCCAAGTGACAGACGTAGGTTTAAGTCTGACAGCAAGAGAGTATGGTCTGAGATATGATAAGACGACACATCCTTGTTTCGTGCATGCTATAAAATCCACTCCCCGAAACACCATGGCTCATGTCATCCAAAATGCCGTAGTGTTTAACTGCAGCTATAAAGCAACTTAGGATAGAGGTAGTAATCAGTCCAATTCTGCACAACGCCTGCTCTATGGCATGTCCCAACTACTTTCAACTGGTACGTGCGTCGGGTCTCTCAAATGTGCCACTGAGTCATATATATCTTGTATCAACCCACATACTTAGCAAGGATTCGTCGTCATTTGATGGTATTAACCTAATATGCACACCATTGTCGATATGCATTGAATTTATCATATGGACGCGGGAGGCGCTATCAGCTATCAAGATAGCAAATGTGTCAGTAGGCTTGTTTGTCTGTTAGTGTTTGTGAGAGAGAGAGAGAGAGAGAGAGAGAGAGAGAGAGAGAGAGAGAGAGAGAGAGAGAGAGAGAGAGAGAGAGAGAGAGAGAGTCCATGATAAACCAGTGTGCATATGAATCATTCCTCATACCAATTTGGTAAGTGGTAAATGTATTGGCGGCCAGAGCATTCTCACTTTAGCCCAGTGATCCCCGTACACAATAAAAGAGAAGATAATGTGTAATCAGATTTAACACTTTGGAGTGTATTTTTATTCAGAGGTCTGGTCAAACAAAATACAAGATCATCATGTTTTACATGAGTTGTTGTTTCCCCGTTGTCCAGCAGCAGTGGAATAAAAAACAAGGGCTTTCTCGTGACACATCTTTCTGAAATGAAGAATAGGCCAAAGTTATCAGGCATGTCATTTCTACTAAAATTTGCAGAGGACATTGCCTCCGAGATATATACTTTATGTTTACAGAAACGAGTATTCCCGAGGAAAGAGTTCATCCCGTCAGGCGTTAATTGTTCTTTGGAAAACACAGTTAAGAACGTTTGCAACACAACCATTGTGAGATCTAACCGTCTACCTACCAGCTGCTATGTTTATCCATGGTGCCCCTTTCCTCCATGGCCGCCTCCATGTCCTTTGCCCCCGTGTCCGCCACCATGGCCTCCGTGTCCCTTGCCCCCATGGCCACCACCATGACCTTTGCCGCCATGACCCTTTCCACCTCCATGACCGCCTCCATGACCATGACCATGACCACCACCATGACCCTTGGCCATGCTGGTTCCAAAACACTGCAGCAAGAACTGTCAGAAAGAGAAAACACAATACATTATTTGCGACGCTGATAATGTGGACTGTTCAGGCTAGTTAAAAGCAATTATTAAGACGTAAACACAGTCACATCGCGTTAATAAAATGTTGACAGTTGGAGTAGATGGCATATCATATTTAGGTTTCCTATATAGATTGACAGTGACTGTCAAGTAACTTTTCTCCCAAATGATCTGAACTTTCAGCCAGGCGATTATACAGCGTGACTAGTGTAGATTTACATTTAGGCACCAACGAGGTATGCTCACCTGCTACAAGGAGCACTGCGACTTTAAGAAAATGCATATTTGATGGTTCTGATGAATGCAAACCTCAGAAAACGTAAAGTTACCTTCTGCACGTTCTCTTTTATAGAGGTGTAACAGCATGTTCTGTGCATGCATGGGGATGCGGCGCACCTTTCCAAATCAGATTAATTAACCAGATGTTTAATTTCTACATCAACTGCACTTTTTTCAATTTTACTTTTTCTCAAGCGTTTGAACTTTTGCATTAATCTCCCGCCACGATCTCCGCATGTCCTAATATAGATATGGCCCAGCTTTTAGGTGTTGTCTGTTAAGGAGAAATTACTTTGTGTCCTTTGTTCAAATTAAGTTTGTTATTGTTATCGAATACATGCCACAGAGACAATTGAAATAGTTCTTGTACCGACAAAAGGTAAGAGGGTATGGTGAAGGCCAGTCTAATGGTAATTGATAAAGGGGGTTGAACTACATGTATGTGTAAAACGAAAACATTTAGCCGACAGCAAATCACCACATGCATCGCTTGCGGGATATTAATAGGCTTCCTTGGAGCTCTGCGGTGTGCTTGGTGTGTAGCTAAAACCACTGTGACATCACCACAAGCGTTACAAAGCAGTTTATGCAATAATATCATTATGATATAATTTTTCTACCATTTCCGCGATCGCGAGGTATATAAGTTCGTAAAAAACTGGCAGCTATCAGTTTTTTCCTTTCGCTTACCAAAGAAGGACATTACGATACAATATGCAGTTCTCTGACTTCGCCGCACTTCTTGGCCTTGGTGAGTATTATCATTCTGTTGTCATGCTATATCAGTTTAAATGGTATTAGCTGTCCGAAATAAAACGCTGGAAAGTAACATGTCCCATGCAATCTTTAAAATGGAGTTGTTAGTGTGTGATATGACAGTATTGTAACTCCAAATCCTATATTCCAACAGCGTAAAAGTGTTAATTTCACAGGAAAGTGTGTTGCTTCAAGTTTCAAGCAACATCCTCCTCAACATCTACTATATAAAGTGTAATGCTTTATACATGGGCGTGTCTTTGTTTATTTTCCAGCTCTGGCAGCCGTTTTGGGTTTGGCTAGTGCTCACGGTCATGGTGGCCACGGACATGGTGGTCATGGACATGGTGGTCACGGACATGGAGGTCATGGACATGGACATGGTGGTCACGGTCATGGAGGACATGGTCATGGTCACGGAGGTCATGGTCACGGAGGTCATGGTCACGGAGGTCATGGCCACGGAGGACACGGTCACCACGGATGAAGCTGCCGAGACGTTGGGGATTGATATCCTAAGTACACAGTCACATGAGAATCTGGATGCTGGGAATCCACTGTGTAGTCGATAACCTATTGTATTGATTGTGATTCGTGTATCATCATTGCCTCAAAGAATTAAAACATCGATCTGACAATTATGCTACTGTTTGTATTATTCATTCTCTTCTATATGGATGCTAGAATGACTACAGAACTAAAGCAATTGTGCAAATAAAATAATACTTAGTGCATGTACATAACAGCCCAAGTGACAGACGTAGGTTTAAGTCTGACAGCAAGAGAGTATGGTCTGAGATATGATAAGACGACACATCCTTGTTTCGTGCATGCTATAAAATCCACTCCCCGAAACACCATGGCTCATGTCATCCAAAATGCCGTAGTGTTTAACTGCAGCTATAAAGCAACTTAGGATAGAGGTAGTAATCAGTCCAATTCTGCACAACGCCTGCTCTATGGCATGTCCCAACTACTTTCAACTGGTACGTGCGTCGGGTCTCTCAAATGTGCCACTGAGTCATATATATCTTGTATCAACCCACATACTTAGCAAGGATTCGTCGTCATTTGATGGTATTAACCTAATATACACACCATTGTCGATATGCATTGAATTTATCATATGGACGCGGGAGGCGCTATCAGCTATCAAGATAGCAAATGTGTCAGTAGGCTTGTTTGTCTGTTAGTGTTTGTGAGAGAGAGAGAGAGAGAGAGAGAGAGAGAGAGAGAGAGAGAGAGAGAGAGAGAGAGAGAGAGAGAGTCCATGATAAACCAGTGTGCATATGAATCATTCCTCATACCAATTTGGTAAGAGGTAAATGTATTGGCGGCCAGAGCATTCTCACTTTAGCCCAGTGATCCCCGTACACAATAAAAGAGAAGATAATGTGTAATCAGATTTAACACTTTGGAGTGTATTTTTATTCAGAGGTCTGGTCAAACAAAATACAACATCATCATGTTTTACATGAGTTGTTGTTTCCCCGTTGTCCAGCAGCAGTGGAATAAAAAACAAGGGCTTTCTCGTGACACATCTTTCTGAAATGAAGAATAGGCCAAAGTTATCAGGCATGTCATTTCTACTGAAATTTGCAGAGGACATTGCCTCCGAGATATATACTTTATGTTTACAGAAACGAGTATTCCCGAGGAAAGAGTTCATCCCGTCAGGCGTTAATTGTTCTTTGGAAAACACAGTTAAGAACGTTTGCAACACAACCATTGTGAGATCTAACCGTCTACCTACCAGCTGCTATGTTTATCCATGGTGCCCCTTTCCTCCATGGCCGCCTCCATGTCCTTTGCCCCCGTGTCCGCCACCATGGCCTCCGTGTCCCTTGCCCCCATGGCCACCACCATGACCTTTGCCGCCATGACCCTTTCCACCTCCATGACCGCCTCCATGACCATGACCATGACCACCACCATGACCCTTGGCCATGCTGGTTCCGAACACTGCAGCAAGAACTGTCAGAAAGAGAAAACACAATACATTATTTGCGACGCTGATAATGTGTACTGTTCAGGCTAGTTAAAAGCAATTATTAAGACGTAAACACAGTCACATCGCGTTAATAAAATGTTGACAGTTGGAGTAGATGGCATATCATATTTAGGTTTCCTATATAGATTGACAGTGACTGTCAAGTAACTTTTCTCACAAATGATCTGAACTTTCAGCCAGGCGATTATACAGCGTGACTAGTGTAGATTTACATTTAGGCACCAACGAGGTATGCTCACCTGCTACAAGGAGCACTGCGACTTTAAGAAAATGCATATTTGATGGTTCTGATGAATGCAAACCTCAGAAAACGTAAAGTTACCTTCTGCACGTTCTCTTTTATAGAGGTGTAACAGCATGTTCTGCGCATGCATGGGGATGCGGCGCACCTTTCCAAATCAGATTAATTAACCAGATGTTTAATTTCTACATCAACTGCACTTTTTTCAATTTTACTTTTTCTCAAGCGTTTGAACTTTTGCATTAATCTCCCGCCACGATCTCCGCATGTCCTAATATAGATATGGCCCAGCTTTTAGGTGTTGTCTGTTAAGGAGAAATTACTTTGTGTCCTTTGTTCAAATTAAGTTTGTTATTGTTATCGAATACATGCCACAGAGACAATTGAAATAGTTCTTGTACCGACAAAAGGTAAGAGGGTATGGTGAAGGCCAGTCTAATGGTAATTGATAAAGGGGGTTGAACTACATGTATGTGTAAAACGAAAACATTTAGCCGACAGCAAATCACCACATGCATCGCTTGCGGGATATTAATAGGCTTCCTTGGAGCTCTGCGGTGTGCTTGGTGTGTAGCTAAAACCACTGTGACATCACCACAAGCGTTACAAAGCAGTTTATGCAATAATATCATTATGATATAATTTTTCTACCATTTCCGCGATCGCGAGGTATATAAGTTCGTAAAAAACTGGCAGCTATCAGTTTTTTCCTTTCGCTTACCAAAGAAGGACATTACGATACAATATGCAGTTCTCTAACTTCGCCGCACTTCTTGGCCTTGGTGAGTATTATCATTCTGTTGTCATGCTATATCAGTTTAAATGGTATTAGCTGTCCGAAATAAAACGCTGGAAAGTAACATGTCCCATGCAATCTTTAAAATGGAGTTGTTTGTGTGTGATATGACAGTATTGCAACACCAAATCCTATATTCCAACAGCGTAAAAGTGTTAATTTCACAGGAAAGTGTGTTGCTTCAAGTTTCAAGCAACATCCTCCTCAACATCTACTATATAAAGTGTAATGCTTTATACATGGGCGTGTCTTTGTTTATTTTCCAGCTCTGGCAGCCGTTTTGGGTTTGGCTAGTGCTCACGGTCATGGTGGCCACGGACATGGTGGTCATGGACATGGTGGTCACGGACATGGAGGTCATGGACATGGACATGGTGGTCACGGTCATGGAGGACATGGTCATGGTCACGGAGGTCATGGTCACGGAGGTCATGGCCACGGAGGACACGGTCACCACGGATGAAGCTGCCGAGACGTTGGGGATTGATATCCTAAGTACACAGTCACATGAGAATCTGGATGCTGGGAATCCACTGTGTAGTCGATAACCTATTGTATTGATTGTGATTCGTGTATCATCATTGCCTCAAAGAATTAAAACATCGATCTGACAATTATGCTACTGTTTGTATTATTCATTCTCTTCTATATGGATGCTAGAATGACTACAGAACTAAAGCAATTGTGCAAATAAAATAATACTTAGTGCATGTACATAACAGCCCAAGTGACAGACGTAGGTTTAAGTCTGACAGCAAGAGAGTATGGTCTGAGATATGATAAGACGACACATCCTTGTTTCGTGCATGCTATAAAATCCACTCCCCGAAACACCATGGCTCATGTCATCCAAAATGCCGTAGTGTTTAACTGCAGCTATAAAGCAACTTAGGATAGAGGTAGTAATCAGTCCAATTCTGCACAACGCCTGCTCTATGGCATGTCCCAACTACTTTCAACTGGTACGTGCGTCGGGTCTCTCAAATGTGCCACTGAGTCATATATATCTTGTATCAACCCACATACTTAGCAAGGATTCGTCGTCATTTGATGGTATTAACCTAATATGCACACCATTGTCGATATGCATTGAATTTATCATATGGACGCGGGAGGCGCTATCAGCTATCAAGATAGCAAATGTGTCAGTAGGCTTGTTTGTCTGTTAGTGTTTGTGAGAGAGAGAGAGAGAGAGAGAGAGAGAGAGAGAGAGAGAGAGAGAGAGAGAGAGAGAGAGAGAGTCCATGATAAACCAGTGTGCATATGAATCATTCCTCATACCAATTTGGTAAGAGGTAAATGTATTGGCGGCCAGAGCATTCTCACTTTAGCCCAGTGATCCCCGTACACAATAAAAGAGAAGATAATGTGTAATCAGATTTAACACTTTGGAGTGTATTTTTATTCAGAGGTCTGGTCAAACAAAATACAACATCATCATGTTTTACATGAGTTGTTGTTTCCCCGTTGTCCAGCAGCAGTGGAATAAAAAAACAAGGGCTTTCTCGTGACACATCTTTCTGAAATGAAGAATAGGCCAAAGTTATCAGGCATGTCATTTCTACTGAAATTTGCAGAGGACATTGCCTCCGAGATATATACTTTATGTTTACAGAAACGAGTATTCTCGAGGAAAGAGTTCATCCCGTCAGGCGTTAATTGTTCTTTGGAAAATACAGTTAAGAACGTTTGCAACACAACCATTGTGAGATCTAACCGTCTACCTACCAGCTGCTATGTTTATCCATGGTGCCCCTTTCCTCCATGGCCGCCTCCATGTCCTTTGCCCCCGTGTCCGCCACCATGGCCTCCGTGTCCCTTGCCCCCATGGCCACCACCATGACCTTTGCCGCCATGACCCTTTCCACCTCCATGACCACCTCCATGACCATGACCATGACCACCACCATGACCCTCGGCCATACTGGTTCCAAACACTGCAGCAAGAACTGTCAGAAAGAGAAAACACAATACATTATTTGCGACGCTGATAATGTGTACTGTTCAGGCTAGTTAAAAGCAATTATTAAGACGTAAACACAGTCACATCGCGTTAATAAAATGTTGACAGTTGGAGTAGATGGCATATCATATTTAGGTTTCCTATATAGATTGACAGTGACTGTCAAGTAACTTTTCTCACAAATGATCTGAACTTTCAGCCAGGCGATTATACAGCGTGACTAGTGTAGATTTACATTTAGGCACCAACGAGGTATGCTCACCTGCTACAAGGAGCACTGCGACTTTAAGAAAATGCATATTTGATGGTTCTGATGAATGCAAACCTCAGAAAACGTAAAGTTACCTTCTGCACGTTCTCTTTTATAGAGGTGTAACAGCATGTTCTGTGCATGCATGGGGATGCGGCGCACCTTTCGAAGTCAGATTAATTAACCAGATGTTTAATTTCTACATCAACTTCACTTTTTTCAATTTTACTTTTTCTCAAGCGTTTGAACTTTTGCATTAATCTCCCGCCACGATCTCCGCATGTCCATGATATAGATATGGCCCAGCTTTTAGGTGTTGTCTGTTAAGGAGAAATTACTTTGTGTCCTTTGTTCAAATTAAGTTTGTTATTGTTATCGAATACATGCCACAGAGACAATTGAAATAGTTCTTGTACCGACAAAAGGTAAGAGGGTATGGTGAAGGCCAGTCTAATGGTAATTGATAAAGGGGGTTGAACTACATGTATGTGTAAAACGAAAACATTTAGCCGACAGCAAATCACCACATGCATCGCTTGCGGGATATTAATAGGCTTCCTTGGAGCTCTGCGGTGTGCTTGGTGTGTAGCTAAAGCCACTGTGACATCACCACAAGCGTTACAAAGCAGTTTATGCAATAATATCATTATGATATAATTTTTTACCATTTCCGCGATCGCGAGGTATATAAGTTCGTAAAAAACTGGCAGCTATCAGTTTTTTCCTTTCGCTTACCAAAGAAGGACATTACGATACAATATGCAGTTCTCTAACTTCGCCGCACTTCTTGGCCTTGGTGAGTATTATCATTCTGTTGTCATGCTATATCAGTTTAAATGGTATTAGCTGTCCGAAATAAAACGCTGGAAAGTAACATGTCCCATGCAATCTTTAAAATGGAGTTGTTTGTGTGTGATATGACAGTATTGTAACTCCAAATCCTATATTCCAACAGCGTAAAAGTGTTAATTTCACAGGAAAGTGTGTTGCTTCAAGTTTCAAGCAACATCCTCCTCAACATCTACTATATAAAGTGTAATGCTTTATACATGGGCGTGTCTTTGTTTATTTTCCAGCTCTGGCAGCCGTTTTGGGTTTGGCTAGTGCTCACGGTCATGGTGGCCACGGACATGGTGGTCATGGACATGGTGGTCACGGACATGGAGGTCATGGACATGGACATGGTGGTCACGGTCATGGAGGACATGGTCATGGTCACGGAGGTCATGGTCACGGAGGTCATGGCCACGGAGGACACGGTCACCACGGATGAAGCTGCCGAGACGTTGGGGATTGATATCCTTAGTACACAGTCACATGAGAATCTGGATGCTGGGAATCCACTGTGTAGTCGATAACCTATTGTATTGATTGTGATTCGTGTATCATCACTGCCTCAAAGAATTAAAACATCGATCTGACAATTATGCTACTGTTTGTATTATTCATTCTCTTCTATATGGATGCTAGAATGACTACAGAACTAAAGCAATTGTGCAAATAAAATAAACTTAGCGCATGTACATAACAGCCCAAATGACAGACGTAGGTTTAAGTCTGACAGCAAGAGAGTATGGTCTGAGATATGATAAGACGACACATCCTTGTTTCGTGCATGCTATAAAATCCACTCCCCGAAACACCATGGCTCATGTCATCCAAAATGCCGTAGTGTTTAACTGCAGCTATAAAGCAACTTAGGATAGAGGTAGTAATCAGTCCAATTCTGCACAACGCCTGCTCTATGGCATGTCCCAACTACTTCCAACTGGTACGTGCGTCGGGTCTCTCAAATGTGCCACTTAGTCATATATATCTTGTATCAACCCACATACTTAGCAAGGATTCGTCGTCATTTGATGGTATTAACCTAATATGCACACCATTGTCGATATGCAGTGAATTTATCATATGGACGCGGGATGCGCTATCAGCTATCAAGATAGCAAATGTGTCAGTAGGCTTGTTTGTCTGTTAGTGTTTGTGAGAGAGAGAGAGTCCATGATAAACCAGTGTTCATATGAATCATTCCTCATACCAATTTGGTAAGAGGTAAATGTATTGGCGGCCAGAGCATTCTCACTTTAGCCCAGTGATCCCCGTACACAATAAAAGAGAAGATAATGTGTAATCAGATTTAACACTTTGGAGTGTATTTTTATTCAGAGGTCTGGTCAAACAAAATACAAGATCATCATGTTTTACATGAGTTGTTGTTTCCCCGTTGTCCAGCAGCAGTGGAATAAAAAACAAGGGCTTTCTCGTGACACATCTTTCTGAAATGAAGAATAGGCCAAAGTTATCAGGCATGTCATTTCTACTGAAATTTGCAGAGGACAATGCCTCCGAGATATATACTTTATGTTTACAGAAACGAGTATTCCCGAGGAAAGAGTTCATCCCGTCAGGCGTTAATTGTTCTTTGGAAAACACAGTTAAGAACGTTTGCAACACAACCATTGTGAGATCTAACCGTCTACCTACCAGCTGCTATGTTTATCCATGGTGCCCCTTTCCTCCATGGCCGCCTCCATGTCCTTTGCCCCCGTGTCCGCCACCATGGCCTCCGTGTCCCTTGCCCCCATGGCCACCACCATGACCTTTGCCGCCATGACCCTTTCCACCTCCATGACCACCTCCATGACCATGACCATGACCACCACCATGACCCTTGGCCATGCTGGTTCCGAACACTGCAGCAAGAACTGTCAGAAAGAGAAAACACAATACATTATTTGCGACGCTGATAATGTGTACTGTTCAGGCTAGTTAAAAGCAATTATTAAGACGTAAACACAGTCACATCGCGTTAATAAAATGTTGACAGTTGGAGTAGATGGCATATCATATTTAGGTTTCCTATATAGATTGACAGTGACTGTCAAGTAACTTTTCTCACAAATGATCTGAACTTTCAGCCAGGCGATTATACAGCGTGACTAGTGTAGATTTACATTTAGGCACCAACGAGGTATGCTCACCTGCTACAAGGAGCACTGCGACTTTAAGAAAATGCATATTTGATGGTTCTGATGAATGCAAACCTCAGAAAACGTAAAGTTACCTTCTGCACGTTCTCTTTTATAGAGGTGTAACAGCATGTTCTGTGCATGCATGGGGATGCGGCGCACCTTTCCAAATCAGATTAATTAACCAGATGTTTAATTTCTACATCAACTGCACTTTTTTCAATTTTACTTTTTCTCAAGCGTTTGAACTTTTGCATTAATCTCCCGCCATCTCCGCATGTCCTAATATAGATATGGCCCAGCTTTTAGGTGTTGTCTGTTAAGGAGAAATTACTTTGTGTCCTTTGTTCAAATTAAGTTTGTAACTGTTATGGAATACATGCCACAGAGACAATTGAAATAGTTCTTGTACCGACAAAAGGTAAGAGGGTATGGTGAAGGCCAGTCTAATGGTAATTGATAAAGGGGGTTGAACTACATGTATGTGTAAAACGAAAACATTTAGCCGACAGCAAATCACCACATGCATCGCTTGCGGGATATTAATAGGCTTCCTTGGAGCTCTGCGGTGTGCTTGGTGTGCAGCTAAAACCACTGTGACATCACCACAAGCGTTACAAAGCAGTTTATGCAATAATATCATTATGATATAATTTTTCTACCATTTCCGCGATCGCGAGGTATATAAGTTCGTAAAAAACTGGCAGCCATCAGTTTTTTCCTTTCGCTTATCAAAGAAGGACATTACGATACAATATGCAGTTCTCTAACTTCGCCGCACTTCTTGGCCTTGGTGAGTATTATCATTCTGTTGTCATGCTATATCAGTTTAAATGGTATTAGCTGTCCGAAATAAAACGCTGGAAAGTAACATGTCCCATGCAATCTTTAAAATGGAGTTGTTTGTGTGTGATATGACAGTATTGTAACTCCAAATCCTATATTCCAACAGCGTAAAAGTGTTAATTTCACAGGAAAGTGTGTTGCTTCAAGTTTCAAGCAACATCCTCCTCAACATCTACTATATAAAGTGTAATGCTTTATACATGGGCGTGTCTTTGTTTATTTTCCAGCTCTGGCAGCCGTTTTGGGTTTGGCTAGTGCTCACGGTCATGGTGGCCACGGACATGGTGGTCATGGACATGGTGGTCACGGACATGGAGGTCATGGACATGGACATGGTGGTCACGGTCATGGAGGACATGGTCATGGTCACGGAGGTCATGGTCACGGAGGTCATGGCCACGGAGGACACGGTCACCACGGATGAAGCTGCCGAGACGTTGGGGATTGATATCCTAAGTACACAGTCACATGAGAATCTGGATGCTGGGAATCCACTGTGTAGTCGATAACCTATTGTATTGATTGTGATTCGTGTATCATCATTGCCTCAAAGAATTAAAACATCGATCTGACAATTATGCTACTGTTTGTATTATTCATTCTCTTCTATATGGATGCTAGAATGACTACAGAACTAAAGCAATTGTGCAAATAAAATAATACTTAGTGCATGTACATAACAGCCCAAGTGACAGACGTAGGTTTAAGTCTGACAGCAAGAGAGTATGGTCTGAGATATGATAAGACGACACATCCTTGTTTCGTGCATGCTATAAAATCCACTCCCAGAAACACCATGGCTCATGTCATCCAAAATGCCGTAGTGTTTAACTGCAGCTATAAAGCAACTTAGGATAGAGGTAGTAATCAGTCCAATTCTGCACAACGCCTGCTCTAT